AAAAAACACAAAAAACCCCACAAAAAACAGAGGGAAGCCCAGGAAGCCCTTACAGAAGGAAAAAGAAAAGAAAGAGTGGCTGGGTAGAACCGAGCATCATTGAGGCTGGGGAATTTGAGGCTCAGAGAAAGGAAGTGCCCAACCAAGTCCCACTGCACATCAGGGCAGAGCGGGATAAAAGTTTGGCTCTGGAGCTCGATTTCTGTCCTATGGTTACTGTGGGTGATGGGGTCCCGGGTGGGTTTTTAGGTTCTTGGCATGACAAAGAATTGGATGTGGCACATGACGGTAATGAAAACGCAGCAAAGTTTAATGAAGTTTAATTAGGTAAAGGTATGCTCTCAGGCAGAAAGAAAAATAGCCTGAGCACTAAATGCATTGGGTTTAAGAATTTAAAATGTTGCGCTGGGTCTAGGCCACCTCTCATTAGGTCTTCCAGAGTGTGATTAACAACGTGATTGATATAGGGTGCTGAGTCATGTCAGCTATATCCACTCTACATATCCTTTTCCATAATTCACTGTTATAATTGGATGTATGAGATGCAGTCCATATGAATGATCCTTTAATGAGCTTCAAGTGAAGAAAGGTTCCTATGTCACAGCAGCAAGTCTAGCACATAAGCATCCTGGTGTGGGATTTTGGAATCTTTCAAGGGTCTTTGTTATTCTTATCTCTGCCTCTGGGTAGTAGGCCTTAGGACAAAAGTTGGCCCTGGGGCACTGCCCAGGTTCAGGTGAGTGGTCCCATAGCTCTGACTGTACTATGTTACCATCACACCCTTCACTCTGCAGCCCAGTCACTCCTGGCTCCACCCACAGAAGCAGCTGACAATCCACTGTGTGACACTGTGTGGTGGCAGTGGAGCTACTTCAGCTCTCTGGTCCCTTGATTCCAGGGAGATCTACTGGCTCCACCCCAGTCCTCAGAACCAAGAACCCAATGGTCTTAGCAAAGCTTAAGGGAGCAACTATTAGTTGTGCCTTGAAAGTGTAGACAGCTATGCCCTGATTGAGGGTGGGAGAGTGGAACAGGAAGCAGGGCCTCCATGCTTCAAATCGTAGCCCAGAGAAGACCTCAGGTCACACAGCAAAACTGGCCCAGCCTCAGGCCAGTCCTCCCATCCCAGATCTCCAGGTTCTTAGTTGAACCAAAATGTGACTGTATTCTCCCATGCTGGGTACTGCTAATCAGGGAAAAATGGCTAAGCCTGCCAATGTGGATGGGGGAGCTCTGAACTCCATAGGGGCCAGTCCTGCCACTTAATGTCCTCCTCCTTATC